ATGAACAGGCTTCATTTTTTGATTTTTGTCGGGTTTTTTTTTTATAGTTGTTCTGTCTTTCTTCTTGTCTCATAATTCGAGAGAGAGAGAGAGAGAGAAAGAGAGAGAGAGAGAGAGAGAGAGAGAGAGAGAGAGAGAGAGAGAGAGAGAGAGAGAGAGAGCCTTATTGGAAGCGGAGGGTGCACATGTTCTTTGTATCATTGTAAAGCTTACTGCACAATTTCTTTGAGTGAAATGCGCTAGATATGTGAAAATTATTATTATTATTATAAGTCTCTAATCTTCAACACATATTTTAGCTATTTGTATTGTAAGTACCATAAACTCTTACTACAACTAACTTGTTTTTCTATTGTTTCTGTCTGTCTGCGGTCCTATCGGAGACGGACGTTAAACTAGGAGGTCCCGCCCCTTAAATATCCTAATAGTGTTGATAGGGGCGTTAAACTTATACCATTTCACCATTTTTTTTTTGGTCTGTCTGTCTGTCACGCTTTTCGCTCGGTTTTTATTGCGTCCTTGTGCTTTTCTTTACTCAAACAAAAATTTAAAAAAACCTCAAACAATCACAGTGGGTGGTTGGGTGGGTGCTCTGATGTGGTTTGCTTCTTCTTTCCTATCAAACATCTGTCGTCTTTATCTCCGATCCTTCTTTTTTTGTGTTTGTTACTCTCTTGTAACACCTCTAATTTTCGGCACTTACATGACCTTATTGTGCCGTAAAACCTCTACTAAAACAAAAAGCAAACATAATGAACACAGTCACAATAATTTTTTCCAAATCTTGTTTCAGATCGTCAAAGCTCAGGCTTCCAGCATCCTTCGGCCCGATGTTCAGACAGATCTCGGAGGGACCTTGGCCTTGCCAGTGTACTTCCAGGTCGCGGGCGATGTGGTGGACAGACTACACTTTGTGTCTCGGGACACCACCTTCAGCAGGAACATCAAGAAAGGCATTGTGGCTTTGTTCCAGGTCAAGGAGAGTGCGGGGCAGAGAACAGAGGTGGGTGGTTGGCGGGTGCTCTGGTGTGGTTTGTTGCTCCTTCTTTCCAAGTGGGTGGTTGGCGGGTGCTATGGTGCGGTTTGCTCCTTCTTTCCTATCAAACATCTATCGTCCGTATCTCCCCTTGTTCTTTTTTATGTCTGTTACTCTCTTGTAACACCTCTAATCTTCTGGCGCTCATATGACCTTATGCAGTTGCGAGCGCCGTAAAACCTTTACTAAAACTAAAACTAACTTCTTTCCAGTCAAACATCTATCATCCTTATCTCCCCTCCTTATTGTGTTGTAAGTGCTGTAAATCTCTTACTAAAACAAAAACTAAAAGAGAACAGAGGTATGTCATCTGTGCAAGATATATAAATAACAATCTTGCAAGTGCTCCGTCTTTCCAATCAAACATCTATCGTCCTGATCTCCCCTCTTTCTATTTTGTGTTTTTTACTGTCTTGTAACACTTCTAATCTTCGGCACACTTATATGACCTTATTCTGTTATAAGTGCCGTAAAACTCTTACTAAAACTAAAACAGAACTGAGGTATGTCATCTATGCAAGATATTTAAACGATAACAATCTTATAAATGGCCGTCAATACAATGATAATGATGATGATAATATAGATTATAATGTGCATAGAGCTTGCTTTTGGGCGGGAATTCTTACTATGCAAATACGATTTGGGGGCTCTCGTGGCCTAGAGGTTAAAGTGTTGGCCTCTCATTCAAAGGTCCTGGGTTCGAATCCGGGTAGCGACCGAAAAATTTTCTTCTTTAAAATTGTCTCCTTTCACCTTCTTTCTGCTGCTCTCTAGCAATGTTCTGTTGTCTGCTTTCATTTCCACTTTCTGCCCCCACCCCCTTACCTCCTTTGCCCCCTCCTCTGGGCTCCTGACTCTTTCTGCAGCCTTTCTACTGCTGCTCCTTGGCTCCTCCTTACTGCTGTCTTTCTTCCACACCCCTGATCTTCTGGAAGGAAAGATCTACACCTAGCCTTCTCGGACAAGGGCGAAAAATCTCGGAGGGCCCGTGTGCAAGTTGCGCATGTTAAAGATCCCTTGGTGGTCTAAAATCGATAAGAGTAGGCTTCGGCCGCCACCCGGGCAAAATT